ACAAGAAATTCTACCATGTGCAACCAAATGGTCCCAATGAGAAACCAGTATGCTCAGGGAAATAAGTCAACCCCAAAGGACAAATATCATATGTTCTCTCTGATATAAGGCAAGCTTCCATACAAATACAAGCTCAATAGTCCTTTCAATGCTATCTCAAGGGTTTTGATTTTTTTCTTTTTATTTTCATTCATTCCAAAAAATTGTTTTGATTAATGTCCTCACTGACTGATGGGTCACATAGTAGCATTGTTTTCTACAGGAAGGTTCTTAATATTCTTTTTCATTTCTTCAATGACACATTGGTTATTCAGTAGCATGCTACTTAACTTCATCTTGCTGCAGAGACCAGAGGAACATATTGACTGGAAGTATAGCCACTGAGGCCAGACTGTTGGGATTCGAGTCTTGCCTTTGACACTTACTGGTTAGCCTTAGCTGAGTTGTCTTTTTCCTACAAAATAGCCTTGAAGAGTTTTTGTGAGGCTTCAGTGAATGAATATGCATAACACTTTTCAGAGGTACCTCTCACTCAATACATCTTGGCTGCTATTATTATTGCTGTTATTACTTGGCTCAGCCTTGAACAGTGAGTTCAATAGGCAGAGAATGAGTGGAGGATATTGTTGGGAAAGTGGCACAGTGAGTGGAATCCCTGGCATAGTATAGGCACATTTAGAAAGCAGTGTGGGGCCCAATATAATGGCCTAATGGCCAAATGATTGCCTTGTATGCACCAAGATCCCATATGAGTGCCATGTCAGGTCCTGCTCCATTTCCTAACCAATTCCCTGCTTGTATCCTGGGAAAGCAGTGGAGGATGGCCCAAGGCCTTGGGACCCTGCCCTCAGAAGAAGTTCCTGATTCCTGGCTTCAGATTGGCTCAACCTCTGCCGTTGTGGTCATTTGGGGAGTGAACTAGTAGATGGAGGATTTTTCTCTCTGTTTCCTCTTCTCTCTGTAAAATCTGCCTTTCCAATAAAAATAAATAAATCTTAAAAAGGCTCACCCCTGTGATCTGTAATTTCAGTTGGTCTGATTAGGAGCTGGGGTGGTGACAGGCTGAGCCAGGCATGATCACGGAGCCCTCTGACACTCATGGGTACTGAGATTGCATACAGGCTGGGTTGGCTCAGGCTGCAGTACCCACAGGCACACCCAAGAATACAGTGTGGGGAAGGCCAAGCCGCAACATCCACTGCTCATACATAGGCTGGGATGGAGGGGGTAGTCTGTGACTGGTAAGGGCTTAGCACTTGCTGGCGTTTGTGAGATCTGGGTCTGAAAGTAGGTCTGGAGGGGGCATTTAGGAAATGCTGCTGGTGGGCCATAGCTCTTATTGGTGAACATGTAATTCAGGCCTGGGTGTTGGTCAAACCTGACAGGGTAGCTGCAGGTCTGACCTGAGTTGGTTTTAGAAGTGGGTAGACTAGACAGGGCCAGGTTAACTTTAGCTTATTTGCAAGTGAAAGGAGCTGGGCTGTAATGTGGGGCATGCAGAGCTAAGGTATCACTCCTACCAGCTTGCGTGAGTCAGGGATGGGAGTCGACTGGCCAGGGCCAGGCTGTAGCACTCACCAGCGAGAGCTGGGACTCAGAGCAGGCCGGGTCAGGTAGACTTCAGTATCCAATGGTGAAGATCAAGACAGGATGGGCTATGATGAGCTGGGTCAGAACAACCACTGGAATGTGCAAAATCTGGGACTAGGAAAAGGCCTGATTGTGGAGCTAAGGGGACACCCTGGCTAGGTTGTTGTTCCCACTGGTTAGTGTGAGAGCTGGAGTAGGGGTAGTGGTTTGGGCTGGACATGGCTGCAGGGTCCCTTGGCATAGATGTGGCCTGGGTCTGGGGTGCATCAGACTGGGCTAGACTTCAGCACCCACTGGTGCTCATGAAAGCCAGAGTGGGTTTAGGATGGGCTGGGCTAGGTTTCTGCTCCCACTGAGCCACATGAAAGCTGCATCAGAGAGTGGACTAGGTGTGGCTGGGTTGTAACAAACAACAGTAAGAACAAGATTGGGTAAGGGCCAGTTGGGCAAGGCTACTGTTTCTCACAGGACAGGAGGTGGCCTAATCAGGCTGGACCAAGGACCCACTGGTGTGTGAAATCTGCCACTGGAAGGAGACCCAATAAGGAACTTGGGGAACTCCTTTATCATGACTTAGTCCCTGCAGGTGAGTGCAAGATCCAAGGCAAGGAGCAGCTCAGACCAGACCGGGTTACAGTACTTGTCAGCATAAGTGTGACTTAGGTCTGGGGGCAGGCCAGGCTGGGCCAGTTCATAATGTCCACTGGCAGATCTGAGAACGAGGATGGGGTGCAGGACAGTCTGGGTCTGGCTGCAGCACCAGCCAGTTCACATTAGGACTGGGACTTAGGGCTGACTATGCTGGGTTGTGCTGCAGCACCCACCAGTGCAAGCTGAAATGGGGGCAGACTGGGTCAGGCCAGTGCTGAGGTGAGATGGGCCATGCCAGACTGAGCTGCAGCATCCACCAGCACATGTGAGATGGGGCAAGGTGTGCAAGCCCAAGGGGAGCAGTGGAGTTTCCCCTGCTGGGTCATTGCTCCTGCTGGTGAGCATGAGATCTGGGAATGGGAGTAGACCAGGCTGGGCAAGGCTACAATACACGTTGGTCTATATGTGAACTGGTTTGGGGGAGAGCCAATCTGGGCTATCCAGTCGTGTGTATTGGTACAGGCATGAGCTGGAGTAAAGGAAGGCCGGTTGGGCTTTGCCACAGCATCAGCTGGCAAGTTCTAGGCCTGGGGGCAAGTTCTGTCTAGCTACACTGCAGAACCACCTGGAAAGTGTTTCTGTCCCTGGAGATCCAGGGCAGGGAGTGGTTTCAATGGGTAGGCTGTGGGCACCCTTGATGGGCTGCAACTGGCGAGTATGAGAACTGGAACTGGGGGGTGGGCCTGGCTGGACAAGGCAGTGGCACCCATCTGCACAAGTGCGGGCTGGAGTGTGGAGATGGTTGGGTTGAGTTAGGCTTCTATGCCCAATGATGTGTACGAGAGCTAAATGGGATGTGGGACAGACCAGACCAGTCCACTGCACATGCTGGTAGGGGCAGGAACCAGAGCTGGAGCAGGTCCAGTGGGAATTACTGCGGGTCGCTCTGACTGGGCTGCAGCTCCGCTTGGTGTATGTGAGGGCCAAGTGTGTGGTGGTCAGAGCTGGGCTGAGCCATAGCACACATTGGTTTACGGAGGAAGGAGGGCAGAACAAATTGATCAACTACCCCAGTGAAACTTCTGGGCGAATGGAGACTCTGAGGAAGGATTTCCTCATTCTTGGAGTGGCAATATCAACAGCATCTCAGAACTATCGAAACCTCTTGAACAGAATGCTCAGAACCTGCTCCACAATGAGGACCCTGGGATGGCATTGACTACTGGGGAGGCTGAGTGGGATCTGTCCTATTGTATCGTCCCCCAGATACAGGTAGAAGGAAAAAAAATGTGCAAACAATAGTCTCATCTACTTTTCCTTGATCATTCCCACCCTGATCACTATGTAAACATCATCAAAAATAATATTTAAAAAATTTAGAAAAAGAAAGGAGTTTGAAAATTCCATGTATATAGGGATTCTGGGGCTTGTGCTAGGTTGACACCGGAAGCAGCGGAACCAGACCCAGGGAGCTGTTCCTGAATGAGCAGACAAGGTATACTGGAAACATGCACATGTGTGCTCCTGAGACAGATGATCAAGGAGGGAGCAGGCTTCAAAGTGCTTGAATGAAACACTGCAGCACCTGGAGCAAGGGGCAGAGTGTGTGTGTGCATGTGTGATCTCCAAATCTAAGGGGTAATTTGGTAATTTGGATTTTGGATGTGTGAAGAAAGTTTAGATAAATAGATTCTGGAAAGACATGAGCATGAGGTTTCTATCCATGTACAGACTCCTGAGTTACAGCAGTTTGTCTCATGCATAGAAGTGCCCATGCACATGGAGGTGACCCATCCGTGGGTCAGCGTTGACACGGTCAACATGAGAACCTCTATCTGGCTGGGCCTCCTGCTGCCTGGGCTTTCTAGCACTCCTAGAGCCTGAACCTGTATTTAGGTTTCCCCAGGTGTTACCTCAGCACCATCTTCCCTCCATTGCACCCTCCCCTGCTATGAGCCTGTGTCAGCAATCAGGCTGGGGCCATGCCAGTCTGCCTAGGTCTACCTTATCCAGGTCAGAAACTGGAGTTATTTATTTATTTATTTCCATAATATGGTTCCATAGGCACAGGGATCTCTCCCACCCCCTCACTGTTTTCTCCAATATTGTTACGTAGGATAGTCCTTCAACAACAATCACAGGTCCAACATTCTGCTATTTAGTGTATCACGGCAGTGTAGTTACAGACAGTGGTGATAGTCTAGTATCCTATTATCAAGGTATAATCAGCAGCCAGAAATTAGATTTAGGAGCTCAATAGTCCGCTGTTTCCCACCGTCTCACCACCACGGCCAGCCTTCTTTCCAAAGAGCAGGCTGTATATCCTAACACCATAATCCCCATTCCTGAGGGACAGGAGGGTCCTTAAGACATCTTTCCCTAACAGAGCCCAAGCCCCCCCACCCCCAACCATCCTTTTAAATCTGGAGTTGTTTCTCAACCTTGCAGATTCAATAGTTCAGAAGACAGAGCCAGAATAGAAAGCTTCAGATGGTGTTGCCTTGCACAGACACCTGGGGACTGGTATTTGGCATCAAAGAATAAAATTGAAATGGCAGCTCAACAGGAATACAGACAATATGAGGCATCTGGAACCATCTCGCCAAAACCCAGCAGGCCACCCTGGCTGGGGAAGCGGATCTACCCTCTGCTTTTAGGCTGGACAAAATAAACACTGCGCATGAAAAGCACTAATGGCCTCATTTTTCTTCTGTTTAGCCAGGAAAACATTAGCGTTTATTCAGCTTCTGAATGAAAAAATCACATGTTGGCATGAAAATAGCCATGTTGAAGGAATGACAATGCAATTCAGGTTTGGCTCATTCACATATTTTATTTATCCAGTGAAAGATGAGGAGAGAAAAAAAATCAGAATTCTAAGGTGGCACAAATTCTGAGAGTACACCAACATCACAGCTTCCATTTTTCTGGATCTAATTTAAATCCACAGATTACATAAAAGTACAAGGAAAGAGAACAACATTTTATTTTTTTTTCTGGTGAATAAGACATCAGATTTGAGGAAGAAAGCTTTGTTGTTTTTTTTTTTTTAAAGATTAAAACAACCCAGGGATTTCTTCTATGATGGCTTGCTTTTGTCTTTATAAAAATAGGACAGCACTGTATCCATGGTGGTGGCTGGGTTTTATGACGGGATTAGTTGACCGATTCACTGATGTCGCAGGGGGCTGACTGGATGAATCTCACCATGGTGAGAACCACTAGGACATGATGAGGGCAGACTCAGTGGGGAGGGTCCTCTGGACCCCAGGACACAGATGTGCATGGTCACGTGATATCCCCAAGGAGACACACCGGCTTCTAATTCAGTTCTTTTGGATTCTCTGCATATATTTGTACTCCAAAAATACATTTTTAAAAAAACCAACCTTCTAAAATTGGCAATTTTAGCTTTTTGAACGAAAGAAGAGAGAAGCTGGAGAAGACAACAGATTTATGGAGAACAACGATAATTTTTATCTGATTTCAGGAACTTTAAGATACAATGAAAAGGTTAAGGTTTGGGTCGAACATCAGAAAGTTCCTGGCTTCTGTGAATACACATGACGATATCTTACACAGTGAGACAGGAATGGAAGACAACACCACACAGGAAAGATTAGAAAAACCAATATCAGAAAATAAAACGGACCATGGTAGGCTGGTCTAAACCATTTAGCACTTCCAAACACAAATAACACAACGCCACAATATCTGAAAGAGGAGTTCCGCAAGGTTCCTGGGGGGCACACAGACCACCAATGGTAAACAGCTAGATGCTTGTACACAGGTGGGTGTGTGGCCTTCACTGTCATGCTGTGAGCATGTGTGCATCCTGCTGCCAGCTCCAACACAGCCCTGGGGAGGTTCAACAACAAATCCTTGTCACCTCCAAAACTGGCCTACTCCTTTTCACACTGTGCCTAACTCTGAGAGGGGAGCGCTGGAGTGGGAAAAGCTTCAGGTTGCTAAGAGGGGCTGCACATTTTGAACCTTGGACAAAGTGACTGGAATCTTTGTCTCCCCTGGGCCTGGAGCTTTTGTAATGGGCTGGGTGTGGGCTTTGATGTCTGCAATTCGCTCTTTAAACTTTTGCTGAAGGAATTTTTCTTCTTTGGAGTATCCTTTTGCAAACACTGACATCAGCAGGCACCCTGCCATGGATGTGCCCCCAAGGCAGAAGAGAATGGCTCCTGCCAGTTTGCACATGTCAAGGGCACTGTTAAACCGGACCGCATGTGAGTCGACCACCACAAAATCGGCTTCGCCGAAAGCTTCGATTTTGGGGGGCACGAGAAAGCCCACTGCCAGAACAGTCAATCCAAGAACCACGAAGACTGTGCCCGAGATGAGTCCCACCTGCAGAAAGACAACAAGGAAAGCAAGAGGTGTGAGCAGGTGCTCCATCTTCCCCTCCGAGCCCTCAAGGGCAGGGCTTGTTTCTTGAGAGAACCACATATTCTGGTTACCCTGATTTGCATGGAGAACCTACTTAATTCTCTCATTAAAACAGAAAAGGGAAGGAAGAAAACTGTGACTTCAACCAGAGACCCAGTGCCAAGCTGTGATCATTTTCCGTTTGTCAAGTGCTTTGCAGGGGAGCAGGTTATCTCCTTGGGTCTCAGGGAAGAGAACAGCAGGAACCAGCCTGGCTCTGCGCCCTGACCCAGATGGCAGGAACTGGTTGGGAGTCACAGTGAGGCCATATTGTCCCCTTTTTGGACACTCTGTTACAGAACATCAACATTAGACAAAATAATCCTGCCACCACGATGGAATGATACAAAATAATTTGATTTGAGCAGAGACTAAAGCAAGATCATTCTGCAAGTCTCAAAATGCCGGATAAGCCACCTCTTCAGGCTGATATGAGTGATGGCCACTTCTCTGCCCGTTATTGCTTCAGACTAGCCCTGTTTTGTCTGTCTTACAGATGAGGTTTATTAAACACCTAGTCTATTATCCTTGGCAATCCAGGGTAAAGTCACACTTCCTTAGAGATGTCTCAAAGCACCCAACCAAAGCCCAGGTGCTTAACGTATCCCTTCACACATTCTTCTTGGAACCTCGTGGTGTTCTTCAATATGTAAGTATGTTCCTGGTGACTTTGGCTGAGGGACATTGATAGGACTTATAACTCCCATCCTTTTGACAAATGAGTAGGGAAGAGACCATAATTGCTAGCACACAGGTAACCTCACAGCAGGCAAGTTGCCAGCCCAGAAGTGACTCTAGACCTGTGCCCTTCCACCTCCAGCCAGCAGCTATTTGAACTATGCTCTGTAGATGATTTGATGTGTGGGAGCCGCAGATGGAAGTTAAATTGTTTTAGTCCAAATTCTAATAAAATGCAATTCAGTAGAAATGGAAAGTGGTTAGAGCTCACAGGTTTGGAAGGGACAGACATATCCAGGTTTGGATGTGAGCACTGCCACCTAGGACTTGAGTCAGAGAAGGAAGGTTACAGGTTATGTAGATGCCCTTATTGACAATCTCACCACTGAAAAATGATAGCAGTGCTCAGAGAGTTGATGTGAAGATCGAATGAAATTGTGCATGAAAGCACTTAGCCTTGTATCTGGCTGTGTAATAAACTATAATAAGTAACTGTTGTTACTACTGCTACTTGGAGATACACTTCTGATAAAACAGTTGTGCTGCTTGAGCAACAGAACTATGACGGGGGTCAGGATCTGCAGCAGCTAATTAGAGTTATTTACTTTCTTTTTTCACTTCCTCCTGTTTCCAACTGCTTTTAGCTGGAATAACAAGATTGGAAAAATATCCAAATGCATAGCAACATTTACTCTGCAATAGAAAAGGTGGATTTAATTAATTTAGGAAGGAAGTTTAAAGTTCTCACTAATCAGGAGGATTAGATGATGGAGGAAAAAACATATTCCATACATCCTTCACCCTAGCAAAATACAAGGAAAGCAGAATGGTGTTAGTGAGGATCTCGCGAGACCCGAGTACAGTACAGGAGTTGTATTATTGAACTCTCAGAAGCATCTAATGCTTATGCTGTATTTCCATTTCTTATATGAAAAACTGAGGTTTATAGAATGGAAATTTAGATCAAAGAAGATTCCACAGTTACTAGGTGATATAACTGGATTCTAACCCAGGTCTGTGTGTCCCTTCCCACCCCTACTTTCCTTCTTCCCATAATGCATCATCAACTGCTACTTTGCATATTTCCCTCTGTTATTTTTACTTGAGGTTTCAAAGAGTTTTGACACATATACAAACAAATACCCTTTTTGTAATTTTATAAATAGAATCAATAAGACACTTTCTGAAGAATGTAAAATCTATTAAACAAAATATGTAAGAACTACAGGAAAATGACAACATTTTGAATCTCTTTTCACATTTTTCTCTAAGAGGGGTGGAGTAAATTCACCCTCAAAGATGAACCATTATTTATAATTTAAATGATGACTCACATCCGAACGTTCTGAATGCACCGAGTAAATTAACGTAAATATCCATGGTAACATGCTTCCTATGTCATTAAATTACCTCCTTCCTCAAGAACTGTTAGTAACTCTCAAAAACATGACAGCAAAAAATGCATCCATCTTGGTTCTGAGATTCTGAAGAGCAGGCAAGGCCGATGTGTTCTGTCTTGCTTTTCTGCTGCTCTTACTCCAGCCTGATGCCAAAGAGATCTCCTTGGCTGACTGACTCTAAGCACCAAGCTGCTAAACACAGGGCCAGCTGACTGATTCCCAGAGCAGCCTGCTCTTCAACTGAGCAGTGCATTAGCTGGAAATCCACTCTTGGAAGAGTACGCAGAAACTAAAAGGCAAACCATGCTTGCAGATGGAAGAACTCCTACTAGCTTTAAGAACAAGGATATGGCTGGCCTTTTAATTTCATTTGAGTATCACAGACAGGCCTGTCATTCAAGAAGAGGGGGCTACACCATGATTCTGAAGGACTGCAACAGGCATGGCAAACCAGCTGGGCTCTGTTCGGTGACTGTGGGTGATTCTGAGCTGCAGGGAGGACTATGAAAATCCCAGGTTCCACTCTTGCAAAGGAAAATGGATAAAAACAGTTCTTGGATTCCAGAAGTCCTGCTGTAAGAGCTATAAGCTATGAAGGCTGCTCTGTTGACTAAACATCCCAGTCCTTGTGTCCCAGCAATGCAATTTATTCTACTAGCAGTCGCCAGCAGCTGTTTTGGCAGAGCGGAGGCAGCAAGAGCTGTTGGAAGATAGCAACAACAAGCTTAGCAGGGAAGAGTTGAGGATTTGCTCCGTGAAGTTAGAGGTGAGATAAGCTGTGGGGACTGCAGGTGCTTCAGGGGAAGTGCTCAGTCAGGAGTGCACGCTGGATTTGCCTTCATCTGTCTAAGGGCTGCTGTACTCTTCTTTGCCCTGAGCTGTGACTCGTGCCATCTGTGCTTGCCGCAGGGGGACACAAAGGAACCAATGGCAGGTCTAGCCCTTCCTGTTGTCCTGCCACACAGCCTACTCCTAGCTCCTCCACACTTCAGACCCCTTTCTTCTCAGCTCACAGCCACGTTCAACTGCTTTCACCTTCAAAAGCCACCCCATATCCCTGCGTCCATGTCTACCTGCTGCTCTGATCATTCCTGTCCTGGACAGCCATGCTTAGTTCACCACAATTTCCTTAAAACATGAATGGCCTTCTAAATGCCAAAGCCAATGTGATTTTTTTTTCTTCCTTATCTCACTTGACTGTGGATGTGAGACCCTTAGCTTTCTTGAAGCTCTCGCCTAGGGTTGCCTGTGATACAACTCTCCTGTTACGGCTCTACCTCGGAGGAACTCACTCAACCTGCTTTGTCAGACCTTCATCACAAGGGACAAGTATTTCTAGCACGCCACCTTTGATCCCCATCTGCTCTTCCTGGATGCTTAAATCAGAGGTCGCAGTTTCCAACTCCCAACTGCTGCCAGAGTTTTCAAATCCCGATTTCCAGCCTGGATATCTCTTGTGATCTGTCAACCATGTGTCTGACAACCAATAGAGAATCTATGAAAGAAAAAGTCTTCAAATATTCAAAATGGCACCTCGAAGTTCCTTCCCAGCTTCTTTTGGTTCCTCTAGTGTTCTTCCTCACATAGTCCCTCCAAAGATTCAGAGTCAATAGATACTTCAGTCTCTTGACAACTAGCAAAAACCCTCCTCTCTTTTCTCCTCTCCAGCATCACAGCAACTCTAAGGGTACACACCAGGACTCAACCCACCCAGATTATCACAACAGCATCATGATGCTCTTTCCCACTAGCCAATCTTTTTTGGTCCATGTATTGGAAGTATCAAAGGCTCATTAAGGTCAACTAACTCACCCAAAATTTTAGGGCTATATTATGTAAGACCTGGGATTTGAATTCACATAGCCTGAGGTCAGAGCATAAGGTGTTAAGGTGTCAGCTGGATTGGGTCACTCTTGTTCAACATCTTCAGATGGCTTCTTCTGACTCTCAGGATGAGAACCTAGGTCATCAGTATTGCTTACAAAGCTCTATATATCATCTACAACCCATTATTTTTCTGAGTTCATTGCCTGCACGTTCCACATTTCACTCCAACTCCACTGGATCTCCTGCTCCTTTTCAAACAACAGGATTATCCCCATTTTAGAGCTTTTGGATATGGTAGCACATAATTTCATGGTATGCTCCCTCTGTGAATGTGAGTTTTTGATCCAGTGTTATCTCCTTGCAAAGGCTTTCTTTCATCTGCAAACCCAAGTCACCATTACTCCCAGTCATCTTCCCTGATTCATTGCACTTCACAGCACTTGTTGCCAACTGACTTCACATTATGGACTTTAAGCTCTTTATGATCCATTTGCCATGCAAGACTGTAAGTACCATGAGGGCAGGAAGATTTTTCTTTTCTTGCTTGCCACTCTGGTCTCCATAGCTTTGACCCTCTTGGCATAGCATAGGTGTTCATTAACTATCTGTTGGATGACTAGGTACATTGTCTAATGAGGCTCCTGCATTGGCAGAAGCTGAGTCTTGGAGGGCCTCATGATGTTGTATATCGTAGAGATAGAACTGGTACTCTGAACGCTGCGCTGAATATCAGCATCAGCTCTCTCTAAATACCTACTTATTTCTCTTTAATTGCTGTTGGAATTTATCAAATTGCACTTTCCAAGCCTGTCAGGGAGGCTGAAATGGGATAATGTTTTGCCTGTGCATAACTTCACAGATAGTGAATGTAGCAGCACATTAATAACAGGAACAATAATAACAATTACTATGGCAATTGTGCCAACTTATGTTTAAAGTGCTCTTGAACAATTACGCTGTATTTAGAGGCTTTTTTGGCCCAAGGTTTTGATTGTCCTTTTCTGAGGGTGGGAAAATGCATTTAGAGAGAGTGATGCTTTCAGTTCTCTGTAGTTGAATGTTTAGCATAGTTGCTTATATTTTTCCCATGTCCTGAGTTAAGCCCATGTTTGTTCCTTACCTTCCAGAACACTGAGCTCCATCGGTTAGGTGACCTCTGGATCTGGAAATCATCCTCATACTCCCAGATGGAAGCAGTACAGTCCTCATAAAACTGGTGCAGGTAGGACCGGACTCCGTAGCGCTGGTACCCGCCCTCGGGAGCAGCCTGTGTCTGCTTAGACCCGCAGACATTGCTGCAAGAAGTCATTCTTCCCAGCTACAATGACAAAGTCCACTTGCATCAGCCCTAGCATATCGGTCGCAAGCTCAAAAGACAAACTGAAAGGTGAGAAGCAGGCTGAATACACAGACCATTTGAACAACGATCTTATGAGAAAAGACACTTCTACAGATGTGTCTTCCTAATAAGCTAGCCTTCTTGTCTGTTGAATGTAAAATTATCCCATAAATACATAACGACTAGCACTGGCTTTCCATAAATGAAATGAGACACTACAGCACAGGTCACTTTAGTTATGCAAACATTTAAGCAGGAGGTACATGAGAAATGGCAATGGAGAAGCTGAGATTTTCATGGCCTTGACAAGAAATCTTTCATCTCTCAGAATCTAGTAGTCTACATAGTTACATGCTAAAGAATTAGGCAGACAATCTCATTTGTTACAGATGAAATTTGTCTTGGGCTGTCTTCTCCAATTTTTAACCACATTCCTTTGTGTAATACCCACGGTGTTCCTCTTAGTAAATGGAATGTTGTCTTCAGATCTCATGAATCTTCCAGTAACATTTTAACCAATTGTCAACTTGTTCAGCAGCTTTATTAAAGAGCTGTCGAGCAACTTAGCTTCATGCTTTATTAATCACAAATGGCTAAAGTAATAATTCACACCTCACTAACTCTGGATCCATATATTTGTCATTATTTGTGGATACATCTGTCCATGTGGGTGGCTAGAATATAGTCTGCAGGGTAAACTCAGCCTTTTATTATTCTCTATGAAGTGTCTGCAATAAATAAAAATTCATTGGGTTGCTAAATTAAACTATGATCTGGATGGACTGGAGCTCTGCCTTGTAAAGATTGAAGTTTGCGTTGGATTTGATCTTTATTAATTAATACCCATGGAGAGAAGATTGGGTTATTAATTCACACTTTTTTAAAAAAGGAATTAACAGGGAATAGTAAGCATGATGAGCAAGAGAATTCTCAATTTTCATCTCTTCTGATCTGCACATAAGTATCTAAACGTGTAGCTGGACATAAAATATACTCCATTTGGGTTTTTTCACTTATGCTCTGGATTGTTGTTTTTTTTTTTTTTAATGATCATAGTCCATGCACAACAAAATGAAAAACAGCATACAAGGTCATCTTTCAACTGAGCAAGCTTTCTATTGTGTTATATGCCAGGCCAACAAAAGCATATTCCATGTTTCCAATTGCTTATCAAAAAAATCCACACTAGTAATGCAGATGTATAACAGCAAAGCATGAATCTAAAGATATACCAAGTGTGCATGTGTGGTCATGTGACTGGATTAGGGCAGATTCAGGGATAAGTCAAGTTCGCTTATCATCATTCCATCCTATGGGCTTCAGTGAACTAACAAAAACATCTTGTAAACTTGTGCCCTTCTCCACAAGTAGGTTTTGGTTAGAAAATGTGATCAGGGCCTGGCGGTGTGGCCTAGAGGCTAAAGTCCTCGCCTTGAACACGCCAGGATCCCATACGGGCGCCGATTCTAATCCCGGCAGCCCCACTTCTCATCCAGCTCCCTGCTTGTGGTCTGGGAAAGCAGCTGAGGATGGCCCAAAGCTTTGGGACCCTGCACCCATGTGGGAGACCCAGAAGAAGTTTCTGTATCCTGGCTTCGGATGGCATAGCATCTGCCGTTGTGCTCACTTGGGGAGTAAATGATTGTACAGAAGATCTTCCTCTCTGTCTCTCCTCCTCTCTGTATATCTGACTTTGCAATAAATAAATAAATCTTAAAAAAAAAAGAAAAAGAAAAAGAAAATGTGGTCAAACTCAGAAAAAAATGGCCCCGATCTGAGAAAAATAATGCGAGCTGGTAGTGCTGATGGTACACAATTTAAGTGCTGGCCAACCTCATTCTTACTGACCGTGCTTTCATTTCAGGTACAGTGACCACCTCAAGAAATCACTCAGAGGAGCGCTCAAGGGACAGAGAAGCATGGTTTTTATTTTTCATGTTTTTATTTTTAAACTTTGAGAAGACTATTGTTTTAGTAAATCTTAAGATTCTAGAATGTACTCTGCCTGCTTAATGTAGCACAGTCCGACTGATTAGGAAAGTGTCAACCTGGTTTCCATATCTAAAGTGCTAGGATGATCCCTTTAAGACCTACTTAATGCTTATCCACTGAGATGACTAAGAGGAGCCTATCACCAGTGACATGGAAAGAGAATTATCTGAAAGGCACTTTCTTAAGTCATCCTAATAAGAATTCTGGCCAAGGAGAAAGGGATTAGTGTTACTAACTCTGACTTGTCATTGAGGACTTAAGGTTGCACCGTGAGTCAGGAACAAAGATGACAACTGGGACACTAAGCAGCATCAGGAACTGAATCACTTACTTGCATAGTCACAGTCAAGTCATCTGCATACGTATATTCTAGGTTAACAACAAATCGACAATATACGTCACAGGAAAAGGAGAAAGAAAATAGGTATGATAGGAATAAAAAGTTCCCTCATGGCAACTGGGAGAGTTCTTTCCTTAGACACTTAAAGTCATTTTTTCCCATTTGAGCCTAAGACACCAGGCAGGACCAGGCTTGGATGGCTCATTTCTGGCACACCAGGTTAAACATTTCCGATGTACAGAGAAGACTCAGTAGTACAACCTTATTTTCAAAAAAGATGAGATCATAAAAGAGGAAGTACTTCCCAAGCCTGATGATGGAAAGCTGCACTCTAAAATTGGATTTTCAGTGTTAGAGACATTCCAGAAAAAGACTCAGTGAGCGTGGCTGGGAACAGAGCTTTCTTGTGGCAGCCACAGAATGGATTCCAATGGCAGCTGTTATCTGCCATACCCTGGCTGTGAGGTTCTAGGCTCATGCTCCTGTCTGGGCTATGATTTCTTCATCTCTAAGATGGTGGGACCAGAGTAGCTTCTCATACCTTCTCAATGTAGTTTCTTTCAGGATTTTTTTTACGGAAGGGCTATGAAGCTACAAATGAGTCAATTAATTTTTGTGGGCCAAATGACTGGGCTTAATGATTTCCCATCTTCTTTGTCCTCATTCATTGTTGTCTGCAGATTTCTACTTTATTCTGGAGTGTTTGCAGCTTCCTTTTGAAGAGGCATTTAAACTACTAGATAGACCAGTTACTGGCTATTAAAGTAGACTGAATGCTTATATAATGTTTATTTAACAAGTTGCTTTAGCACCTCATATCTTATCTAAAATACTAATCCCTGGGGGGTCTGAGAGACTTCTTACATCCTCCCAGAGATACGATGAGCTGGGATTCACAGCTCCAAGAGAAGGATGACTCAGAAGAACTTGAGTTATAAATGAAACACACTAGTCTGGAGAGTGTTGGACCTAGAAAATCTCAGCAGTCATGTGTATTGCAGGAAGTCAGTGATGTTTTAACCTCATTATAGATACAGTTGGTTACAATCATTTGGGACCTGCTTGTTTGGTGGATACCTCTACTATTATAAAAAGGAAATGTGAGGTCATGCCATAAAGTCATTTCAAAAGCAGGACAATTATTAAACTATATACAATAAATCAGGATTGAGACAGAAATGGAAGGTCTGTTTGAAGGCATTTTACTTAAGGAGCCAGGTTTCATGAGAATTCCAATGCTTGAATTTTAATGACTGTAGCATCACGGAAAATGGTAACATTAAATCTGTAAGTGTCATGAAGTGGAGGGTTCCTTTCTCTACAGCAAGCTTTGTCACCCCAGGAGGCACATGAACAGAGCTGTGAGTAAAACAGCGTTCAGTATTGTGTTTAGTGTACGTCGGCATCCATGTTATAAACACTCTAGTGGAGCCTGTTGCAACTGATCTGCCAGCATGGCTGACACAGGTGAAAAGAAGCAACATGGGTGTGTGGCCGTTTGGTCAACTCTGGAGAAGGGTTACAAGGACAGACCAGGTGCTGATATGTGAGGATCTGTTCATAGTTTTCTCTTTTCAGTCTGTTTAGAGAAACCATCTCCATGGCACACACAGTGATACAGTACATGAATAGTCAAGTATTAGCAACACAAAACACCAATGAGGGCCTGAAGGGCAATGACAGGAGAATATCACACCATAGCTCCGCTTCTATTCTTCTGAGCAGATTTCTGCAATCATCACATCTAAACACCAGCCTACTGTCACTCTATTCCCACCGTCCAGCCTCACTTCCCATCACAGTACTCTACTGCCTGTTATCCAACGTGTGGTTTATTTGCTTGTACACTCCAGGAGGGACACTTCCATCCTGTTTACCACTTTGCACCTTCCTGGTCTAGAGTTCTACATGGGTCAGTGAGTATATGATCTGAGTAATCCCTCATTTTTCAATCCTCCATTCCTCCAAAGATTTTAAAGCACTGCCTATGTCCCAGGCACCTGCGAGGTATTGGCTACTAAGATGAATGAGGCAGAAACTGTTGGATTGGAGACACATTCATGAAGCAACAGATGCAACAAAACAGGTGTCACAGTCCTTTACAGTGGGAGGAAGTACAGACCATGAGCGTCTCCTTTATTAGGCAAATAAACTCAGGCATATGCCACTGCCATCATTAAGTGCACAGATACACAGTAGTATCAATTTGCTGGAAATTCGAATCTCAGTTTAATATATGCAGTTAGTTTTTATTCTATTTTAAAAATGTTCATAGCCACGGAGACAGAAATAAGTCTTTATGCCTCATGAAACTCTAAGAACACCACAGACATTGCATTATTCATCTTCATGGTCTCCTTGAGAGAAGAGAGGCAGCAAATTGAGGCACCAAAAAGCATGAGTGTTTTCCCAAGGCTATGTGTGTGAGTCAGCCACGAGGCCAGGCACAGACCTCATTCTATTTATTCTTTTAGAAATATCATTTGATTTTATAGTACTTTTTTTCTCCTACAAAATAATTCTGCAATAATGAGAGTGAAGTTCCTATTATAGCCACCCTTTCACAGGACCAGCAGTGCAGGAGACAAGGTGTAGGCAGGCACCAGATGATGCAGTCCACTTATTCCAAACCACAACA